ACACTGAGAATACATGCATTGGCGAGACTCCTTCTAAATTGTGTTTTTCTTATGGAAAAAGAGAGCCAGCCAGAGTTCTCCTATTAGAAAAAAAAATGAATCATTAACTACTGTTAATTTAACTGGTTTATTGAAAATGCCAAACTCAACGGACTGTGATAAGGAATTCCGTTTTACCCTTTTCCATCCCTGCCTTCTGATATGGCCGGCCATGAGGAAATCAAGGCAGATCTCACGACTTCAAAGTTACTTTGAGGTAATTAAAGTTTAGTGAAGTGTAACTTAAAACTACAATCTCACAGGCATTTCAAAGATTCTTCTCCCAAACCTAGGCTGGCTGCCTTCTCTTCCCTTCATTAAATCTGATCGCCACCTGATTAGAGATGGGACGTGAGACATGGAATGCAGAGGGTTGAGTTGTTACCCAACAAAAGATGTTCTAATACCTGGAACCTGTGATTGGAAACTTCCTTGGGGGGAAAAAAAGAGTCTTTGTAAGTGTAATTGTGTTAAAGGTGCTGAGCTGAGATAATGCCAGGCAGGCTCTAAATCCAATGACATTGCAGTATAAGAGTTGGCATAGAGACACACACAGAGGAGAGGAGAGGCAAGGTGACCAGGGACTGACTGGAACGGTGTAGCCACAGGCCAAGGAGCATTTGGAGTCACTGGAAGCTCAAAGAGCAAGAGAAACAATATCTCATTGAGCTTTCAGAGGAAAAGCAGCCTGCTGACACCTTAACTTTAGTGTCCCGAATTGTTGGAGAATAAAGCTAGGATGGTGTAAGCAACCAATCTCATAGCAATGTATTACGGTAGTCCTAGGAAATGAACACAAAGGGCCGAAAGACAAAAGACCTTTTGATTTAGACTTTGTTTCCTGTCGTGCTCTTGGAACAATCAATGTTCATTCAGAAGTAGGTGTTCCAAAGCTGGATTTGTCGCTAGATGCAAGACCAATGGTTTTTGTTAGGAGCCTCGTGGGATCCTGGCTTCAGAGACTAGCTCCAGCATTGGGTCCATGTGACTTTCTGCTCAGACAGTTCTTAGTTCGGATGTTAAACACAACATCCTCTTAAGTCTATAATCCTCTCCAAAAACAGGATAAAGAGTACTCCGGGGGCCTTCATGGGTATTATATCCTAGAATTCTTAGCTATTTCCCTGGTATTGCTTTGAGATCTCCTGGGCACTGGTCACCCCCAAAGCATCTGACCTCTTTCCTCTCCCGTCACCGACTACCCAGTCAACCTCTGCTTTTCAAACTCCCCACTTTGCAAGGCTGCTTGCAAGCTCTCTCATGAGTTGTCTCATGCTGGTCCACCTGGTGGGCCCAAGTTAGTTCACCAATAAGCATCTAGCCAGAAACCAGGACCCTTTTCTTCTGTGACAAAGGCCCTTGCTCATGCACGGTGCCTTGGCATCTTCTTTGTCTATGGACTTTTCTCAGTCACAGGCTCTCATCTTCTACTAACAGAGTGTTGAGAGTGAGCGATAGAGAACCCCTTCAGCTAAGACCATTGGAGGTCATGTCTGGTGGCTCCTTGTTTTCTGCAGGACATAGAGTACTTACTATTCATCTTGGTTTTGATCTGTTACTAAAATTGTGAGTTAATAGGAAAAAAATTCATCAATACCCTGTCATACACTGTACAGAATTTGTAAGATTTCTAAAATGCAAATATATTGTGCAACTCTCAAAGCTTTTTCTACCAATTATCATTTATTATAGATCACTTCCCATTCTGTTGGTGATCTTTTTATCTTCTTGGCTTGTTAGAACTAATGATTAGGTTTTAAAACCCCAATTCAGAGTCTATTCATTCTTATAAACTTCCTCTCTATGGTAGTTCCAGGGCTCAGTGTCTGGATTCTTTATCCATCTCATCTCTTGCTTAAAATGAGAAAATATCTATCTGAACTATGAATTGTCTTTAAAAATATAAGAGGAGAAACAAAATAAGTCTGCCATGTGTGGTTATTCTGATTTATTCATAAGAAGGGACTTCTCACAGGAGGGACTGCTCCCATTCCACCAGAACCTTGCTAGTGATGACCCACTGAGTGACCTCTGGCATCCAGAAAACTTCCCAAAGAGAAAAGGTTCTATTCTTGGCACCATCTTTCATTAATTATAAAGCCTAGATGATTCCTCAACTTTAGAATTATGTAATTTCATGTGCTCTATAATTACTGGAGGTTGTAGACAGTTTCCAACTAAGCTTCAAATCTTCTGACTCATAAGGAAACTCTAATCCTCCCCTCTGTTACTAAATCTTATTAAAGAAAGTATTTTTAAAGCTGTGTGGATGTATCATGGATAGGTGTGCTACATTACACAGTGTTCCTGTACATTATAGACTGACAAAGGTCATAAATATGATGGAGGTTCTTAGACATTTATTTGGATGCCTGGGTATGTCACTGATTTACACATGAAGCAAGTTCCTCATGAAGAGGAACTTGCAGGTAACTACAGTTGGCTGATTTTATGTCTATTTGACTTGGTGGGTCTACAAGGCCTGAATTTCCCCCAGGAAATCATAGTAAACAAAAAAAGAAAACTGTCTTCAGGATAGACTTGAATGAGAGGCAGGGACAGGAGTAAACAGAAGTTCCCAGTGTGCTATAAGGTTGTCCTGGAGCCCACTTCGTGTGCACTGAAGAGAGGAGAGGTAAAGCAACTGGATCCCTAGAGATGCTCTCCATTCTTCTGGAGAACTGCCTTCTTCTTGGAGCTGGTAAATCTACACCAACCATGGAAAGAAGAGTGCTAGGCATCCATCTCCACCTTCCTCTGCCCCATCAGGAGAGATCACACAGTTTCAAGCAACAACAGCTGAGAAAGCAGCCAGCTGCAGGGCTTCAGAAGTTATGGTGGCCAGTGACTCAAGAGGAACAGAAACAGAGTTACAGCAGTAACTGGATCTCTCTATCTCTCTGTCTCTCTGTGTCTGTCTCTGTCTATCTGTGTGTCTCTCTCTGTCTCTGACTCTCTCTGTCTCTCTCTGTCACACACACACACACACACACACACACACACACACACACACACACCCCTCTTCGGTGCAGGAAAGGACCAGAGCAGCCAGAGGTGTGGCTCAAATCACAGAACCTGACTCTGCTAAGTAGATTACAAACCTTCTCCTCTGCCAGATGGACTCTTAGATATGCACAAACTTGGGGGTAGCTGAGGTCCTTGTATTTGAAGTTGCTGAAATGGAAGTCGATCAAGAAAAGTAAAGGCCATGTGGGAGAATGAACTTACCTGCAACACGATGTAATTGGGGCCCATGAGGTCATACAGCTCCCATTTTGGTAGAAACCGACACAGTACCTAAAAGCATATTCGTGTTTTGTCATTTAAAAACAACAAAACTCTGTGAGTATTCAGCCTCTGCCCCAGGTTTATACCAGCTCTGGAGATATACAAATATCTCATACAGAGCTTTTGAAATTTGAGCCCATAAAAAAACTCAGTCAAGTCCAATTTAGCCAATGTTTATTCAGTATCACATGCTCGGAACTGTTTTGTGGGAATACAGATGCAGTATGGAAATAATACTTAACATTTACCCAAGGTTTACTATGTGCAGTTATTTAATCCCCACAGCCATTGTACGAGCTAATTACTATTAGGATCAGGCTTGCTTTATAGACAACATGGGCTTTCAGAAGGATTAAGCAAATTCCCTCAGGATCACACGCCAGTGATCTTGCCAGAACCAGGATTCAGCTCCACATGCTGTGACTCCAAAGAGAAAACTCTGAGTTACTATACAATAATATATATAATATTATTGTACTGTACAATAATGTATACAATACATTAATATTGGGCAAAAGTCTGAGATGATGACATGAAATGGCAACCTTGGCTCACATGCTTTCTTTCATCGTGCAAATAAAAGCATTGTATAGCATGCCCTTGATGCTTAGACCTTAGAATCTGCTTTGAAACAGCAGCGTGGAGCCTGTTACAAATAAAAACAAAGATAAATAAGATCTACAGCTAATTGTGGTGCCTGAAAGCAAAGCAGCATCTCTTTAGTCCGTAGCATTTCTACAGGGCTGGCTTTGTCTCCACTTTCACCTTTGAAAGCCATTCTTCCAGATTTGAGGCCAAGCTGAAAGTGCAAAGCTAAGGGAAAGGAAATCAACCTGTCCTTAGAAGTACAGATACGTCTGATAAGAAGCCTGCGACTGGAAAACTGGTAGTCTTCGAGGGAGAACCCTGGCTCCTTAGTCAAAATCCACACTGGGTCTCACTGCCCAGTGAATGCGGCCTCTGTGTGCTGCCTGAAGGCCAGATAACATCCATCGCAATAACACCCTGCACAAGCTCAACTCAAGAGCTGTGAATCCACAAAGGAAACAAATTACATCTCTTTGGGGGAAGGCTGGGTGAATCAGGCAAAGGGATTTGAAGCTGAATACCAGCTGAGAGAGGGGTCGAGTGGCTAAACCTTGTGAGACGGGAACACAAAAACTAATTGAGGTAATAAAGAGCCGAGGAGAGCCCAAGTTCTCTAGAAACAACAGCCTGTCTTAATCTCACCAATTACACAGAGAGAAAACACGCTTTTAAAAACACTTCGAACGGAAATAACCCAAACTCTCCAGTGAACTAACTCGGGATTCCTCCGGCTAGCCCGTGAGTTTTGTCCCACGAAGAAAAGACTGTCAGCGGGGAGAACCTCTCCTTCGCCCCTCCTTTGTGGAAGTGTATGGGGACTGTTGCAAAGTCAATTAGGAAACGGGGAGAGATGCTCATTACAGCTTCACAAGTTCGGAGGCTGTGAAGGAGCCAGGGAAGCAGCCAGTGGCCAGGGTCAGCTGGTCCAGGGGATGCTGAATGGACCAGATGGTCAAATCACACCGTGGACAAAGAGCCCTCCTCTCGCCCTACTGGGTTGCTGCTCTGACCTCCAAACAAACAAGGAGGGCACAGATTTGTTCCCCCTTATCAGCTGTGTGGCTCAGCAGCTGCCGCCATGGGTTTCTGTTTCCGAAGCCTGCCTTCGCCCAACAGTTGCCTTTTTGTCTAACTTTTGTGTGAGGGAAGAGGAGGTGGAGGGGCCGGAACATAATGGTGAGATGGCGCAGTGGCTGTCAGGGGAGGGAGCGCTTGAATAGAGTATTTCAAGAAGGGCAGAAAATAGATTCCGCACCCCTCCCCGCCCCGCCCCTTAAACAACCTCTGGGAAATCCACCGGCCTGGAAAACACACAGAAAGCACTGATCACTCGGACTAAAGACAACATTTCTTTTCAGAATCCATATCGCGGAATGGAAGTAGAGCCGTGTATGAAATGGCCTCTGCATTGTTAGGGCTTAAATGAGCCATGAAAATAAGGGCTGTCCTTGAGGCAGGGCTAGGACTCCAAGCAGGCCTGCTGAGATCTAACTGCAGAACAAAATGAGAATGCAGAGAAAGCCTGTTGAGAACGGCGATGTATCGTGTTCTTCTATCTGGGAGCAATTATACCTGCTGTAACAATTACTTAGGAAGGCTGCAGGAGTTTATAAACAGATTCCAAAGTGTTCTTGCGATAACAAGGCAGGGAAAGCTGGGTCTGGATGGCTCTCTGTTAAAAGTGTGATTAGGTAAAACTATATCCTTTTCTTGTTCAAGTTAGCTATTGTGGCTATGACAGTGAAATAGAACAGAGAGGAATGTAATGCACCAAAAATAAAGAACATGTTTTCTTCTGCTCCCAAACCGCTTAATTGTTCTTTGTTGTGTTTCAGACTGTCCAACAGCTGTTTCTTCTCATTTAATAAACAGAAAGCCTGAAGTCAAGAAACCGAGTCACGGTGAGCAGTGAGGGAGAGCCGAGAAGTGGGAGAGGGCTAAGAAGAGAGGGAGAATCCGTTTCCCTGGAAACGCTTCACACAATGGAGATCAGAGGGGAAGGAAGGAGAGGCTCATGCTCCCTCTCTGACTGGTGGTTGCACAGCCGTGTGCGAGGACTCCTGTAGGATAGAGGGCTGATAGAGAAGGCGATGACGAGGTGACTGGCTACCAGACCACAACTGTTTGTCTGGGGTTCACCACACATCAGGCCTGGTGGAGCGCTTCACAGATCTAAGTCTTTGGTGTCCTAGAACCGCTATGGCATCTGGAGTCCAGATTTAAATCCCAGCCCACTCAGGCAAAGCAGCTCCTCTGGTTTGTGTCCTGGTTTGAAAACTGAGGGTAACACCAGTTTCCAGGTCACGTTAGGCTGGACTAAGTTGGGCAAACAGAACCAAACAGTGATTTCGATATAAAGAACGGTTTTCACTGGTGCTAGGGGACTGAATGAGAAGGTGGGGAGTGCTGGGGCAGCCACTGGAAGTTTCTGGAATATTAACCAGGTAAAGATGTGTCACATTGGTTTATGCTGCAGAATACTACTTTAACTGTGTAAAGGTGTCTTACTTTTGTTTATGCTGCATTTGTTTACTGATGTAAAGATGGGTTGCCTCTGTTTCATCTTGCCTGCCTAAGGCACCTGATGGATCTAATAAAGAGCTGAATGACCAATAGCTAAGCAGAGAAAGGATAGGTGGGGCTAGCAGAGAGAATAAATAGGAGGAGAACTCTAAGCTCAGGAAGAAAAGAAAGGAGAGAAAAAGGAGAGAATCAGCAAGATGCCTGCGCCAGAAGCCAAGGAGCCTCCAGCCAGCCAGCAGACACAGAGTAAGATACACAGAAAGAAGGTTAAAAAAATGCACAAAGGCAAAAGGTAGATGAAGAGACACAGGTGAATTTAAGTTTAAAGAGCTAGCCAGAAAAGAGATAAGCTAAGGCCGGGCATTCAAAACTGATAATAAGTCTCTGTGTCATGATTTGGGAGCTGGTTGGTGGCCTAAAAGAGAAAGCCTGGTACAAGAAACCACAGGAAGAAGCTTAAGGTGAGGAATAAAAGTTGCTGCTGGAACTGCCGAAGGCTGGACTTGAGGACCCAGAGGCCAGCTGGCGGGTGTGCAGACAATTGGTGAGGCTGTATTTGGTAAGGAAGGAGGCTGCACTCTGGGACCAAGACTGATGCCAGTCAATGGACTATGGCTGAGCTCTTGAACTGAAAGGGACCAGTCAAAACAGAGTAAAGTCTGTCCTCTCCAGCCTTCAGTCTCCCCTATTGCCCCCACTGACAGGAATTACTGGGCAACCTGCTGCCAAAGAAGCAGTTTGTAAGATGCATGCTCCAGCCATAAGTCAGAACGACAGCTCTGTAAAGGAGTAATTACAAAACTACTGTAAGAGCAAATGAGCTACTACAGGGGCTCTTTGACTTACAGTTAATTGGCCTACCACCCCTAAGTCCATTTTGAGTGAGAAATATTATTAGTTGAAAATACACTCACTCTACCATTTGAAAGAAAACGGCCCCCATAGACAGTGGCACTCTTAGGAGGTGTGGCTTTGTTGGGATAGATGTGGCCTTGTTGAACAAAGTGTGTCACTGTAGAGGTGGGCTTTGAGGTCTCCTGTCCTCAAGCTACAATCAATGACACAGTTTACTTCCTGTTGCCTGCAGATCCAGATGTTGAACTCTCGGCTCCTTCTTCAGCACCATGTCTGCCTGTGTGCCGCCTTGTCCGGCCATGATGATAATGGACTAAACCTCTGAAAATGTAAACCACCCCAATTAAAAGTTTTTCCTTTATAAGAGTTGCTGTGGTCATGGTGTCTCTTCACAGCAATGGAAACCCTAACTAAGACAATACCCAACCTCCCAAATATCAGAGCTTAGCAGCCAGTGCATTGCCAAACACCTGTCATTTATTCTCATGGTTGAGCAATTGGGAACCACAATTTACCGCTGCTAGCCAGCATGAGGAGACTGAATCTGGACAGCCTGGGAAATGATCAAAATTAGAAGCATGGGTTCCATGGAATTACCTTACAGTTTCCAAATCTCAAGTCTCCACTTGAGTGTTTAGAACTGTGCTTGGCATCATGTCAGTGCATTACAAGTGCTTTGAATAAGCAAATAAATCCACCAAAAAATGCTAGAAATAACAGTAGGATCTCAGTTTTAACGTGATGATGGTGAGGTTGTATAAGGTCACTTAAAATGCTCAAGGTCACATGAACTATTCACTAGTAGAATCCAGTCCATTGGAATCTACAGTTGTTTGCCTTCATGAGGTCCCCAGAGACTCAGAGAAGACAGGCATATAAATAAACCACATGCAAGAGAGACTGGTTTTCATGATGTAGTACATACATGTGGAGGCATTGGGGGATCATGAAGGAGGACGACGAGCTTACTGACTGTGAGAGACTGGCTGGTGACGACGGTATTTAAACAGAAGTGATGGTGGAGAAAGGCCTTGCCTGACAGATGTCATATTCAATTCAACAAACCAAGTATATTCTCTGTGCCAGCCAGGCACCGACCCAGATACTAAAGGTACAAAGATTTGTAAATGGTTGTTGTAATCTTTTTTAAGTAATATTTTTTTATCCATCCTTTGAAATTCATACAATATATTTGATCATATTCATCCCCCTCCCATCCCCTCCCAAACCCCTCCCCCTCTTTTCTATGAACCCAACATCATGTTTTTACCTCTGTTTCAAAACAAAACAAACCCCATGGAAGCCTGTCTGTGTTGGCCAACTACTCCTGGGCATGGGACCTGCCCTGGAGTGTGACCCATATACCAAATATCACTCCACTGAAGAAAACTTTCTTTCCTTCACCCAGCTGCAATCAAATGCCAATAGCTCCTTGCTGAGGGGTGGGATTTTATGCCCACCTACCCTCCTCCCTGCTGGGATTTTGTCTGGCTTTTGCTTATGCAGGTCCTATGCATGCTGACACCGTCTTTGTGAGTTTGTATGTTCATCTGCCCTGCTGAGTCTGGAAAACACTGCTTCCTTGAAGGTATCTACCACCTCTGGCTGTTAAAATCTTCCCACCTCATCTTCCACATAGATCCCTGAGCCTTAATAAGAGGGGTGTGATAGACATCCCCATTAAGACTGAGGACTCATAAGTGTCTTATTCTCTGTATATTGGTCAATTGTGGGTCTCTGTGTTAGTTGCCGTCTATTGCAAGAAGCAGCACCTCTGGTGAAGGTTGAGTGATATACTCACTGATCTGTGGGTACAGCAAGCAATATGTCATCAGGAGTCATTTTATTACAATGTTCCTTTAGCAGAATAATATAAGAAGGTTTCCTTCTAGGGCCCATGATCTAGCCAGTCTCTGGCTCTTGGCCTCATTGATAGGATCTGATACAGGACCCATCTCATGGAGCAGGCTTTAATTACATCAAAGAGTAATTGACCACTCCCATAACATGTATACCACTATTGCACCAGGGGAGATAACTTACCAGGTAGATCATCATTATATCTCGCAGAGTTAATAGCTGGGTGAGATTGATGATTACTTTTCTCCTTCCATAGCATGTACAGCACCTTCCAAAACTGTGAAGCTTTCAGTTGAGTGCCAACTAGTTTTCTTGATGTTCTATGACGTAAGCATATGGTATCTTCAGCAATGAGGTCTTACTGCCAAGTAAGGTTTTGGGGGTCTTTGAAGCCCTAAGAGTCACCAACTCAGAAAGAGGTAACTCATTCCTGGCACTAAGGTTTTTTTGGTAATGTATGATTTCTAGCTGGAGTATTCTCCCCCATTGTAGGGTGGTGGTTTCGGTCTTTAAGGAAGTCACAATTCAGTAAGGTAGCACATAAATACTCAAATCTCTATGCTTGTGCTAGAAAACCGAAGGTATTAAGTGAATTTAGAATAAAACCTTTGGTAAAGTGAGATTCCTACCCTGTCACCTCAGGAAGCAACATTACAAAGGCAGCAGAAGTCAGTAGGTGGGATGTGATAGGGGAGGAGCGAGGCAGATGATGGAGAGTCACTAGTTTTATCTAATGCTAGAACAGACTACCATATTGGCTGGTTAAGGATGTTAGGTGTGGGAGTCTGCCGGAGACCAGCTCCGACCTGCTCCCACCTTTTGAAGGGTTCTTGGGTGGAGGAGAGAGGAATGAAGAAATATTGGGTAGAAAGATAGAAAGACGATAAGAAAGACAGTGACACAGGATAGCTGCAGGAGGGCGCTGGGTCAATACCCAGCTGTGCCCAGAGCTTTATTCAAAGGGGCTTTTTATAATATGCCACAGGAAAAGGCAAAAGACCACCCCCTTGCAAGATCAAAGCACAAAGTACAGCCAAGTGCAGACCCTTCCAAACACCTGGTAAACATGCCTGTGGCCGAATCATCTCCTTATGCAGCCCTGCTGGGTAAAGCAAGCCCAGATTCTCTGACCTTGAGTAAGGTCTCACTAGGAAGCCTCTGTGGGTCTCCACAGTTAGGGTTTTTTGCTGTTGTTTTGTTCTTTTTTTTTTTTTAATGGAATTGGAAAAGTTCTAGAATGTTCCCTTGCTTCTAAACTTTGTCTCTGAAATCTTGTGTTCATCTTGAAAGGTAAGGCGGTTACTATAAAGCTGAGCTAGAACCCACAGAGCAGTTATAGATGCCAGTTTCCAAGCCTATCCTGTATGCCAAGCTCCTCATCACAAAATGAGTATTATATCTAGACTGTACTTTTTAGTACAGTCAGCCCCTAAAAACAGTTCTTAGTTTCTTCCTTATAGTAATAGACTCCCCGGATGAGCCTCAGTAAAGCATATATGCTTTTATGGCAGACAACAGTTTCCAGACTTCCTCAGAAATCAATGTGATTATGTGATGTACTTCCCCCCTTCAAAAAAAAAAAAAGAAAAAAGAAAAAACTGAGCAGATGCCAACTGACTGCTCATCCATCCCATTCCCCTTGGGGAGAACCACTCTTTCCCATTCCTCTCTGCCTTTTCACAGGGAAGAAATGGGATACTGAAGTGGGGTTAGCGCTCCTGTGGAGCACACCAAATCACCTTGGGAGGACTGCAACAGCAGGATCTGTATCCTGAAGAAAACAGGGCCTGAGAACTCACCTTCTCTTGCCATTGGCACATTACTGTAACCAATACGATAACATTGTTAGAGCTGTGACTAGGCCGAGGGTATCAGCCAGCGGTTATGAAACATGAAAGACTTTCAAGCAAACTTTATAAGCTTCAGTGAATTGATAGTGTAAAAAATTACATGTACTTGTTTGAACCCTTCCGTTATTTGCATCTTTGTTTCTAGCTGGCTTTCAAAAGACTGGGTTTACACCCAAGCAAGGGTGTAAAAAAGATCATTGTGTTGAACAAGGGCATACTCACTGAACAGCTTCTAATGATTTGCTCTTTAGTCACTACTGAAGAAGGAAACACACATATGAAAGATAAGATATTTGATGGTGATATATGCAAATATAAAAAACATTAAAAGAAGTTGGTGCTCTTGGTTACAGACTGTAAAAGCTCTAACTCAAATTTGCTTTATTAATTAAAATACCACTGATAGGCTTGTGGAAACATCCAGCCTAAGAATAATCCTAACCAGGCATTTAACCTCTACTGGCTGAGACTCTGTGGATGGGACCTGAAAAATCTGTACTGTTGACCCTGCTTCTGTCCTTTCAACAAGAAATCCTGATATCGCTCTAAGAAGCACTGGTTAATATAGATCTTTCCAACTGCGAACTGGAAATTGGAGCAGAGAAGAGATGGACTTCAAAAGAAGGCCATCATTCTTGAGGAGACGGAATCCTGAGTCCAGGCAGGAGGACTCTGACAGCTCCACCATGCCTGCTTTGCACTTGGGACATGAGAAAGGGATGAGGTTTGAAGATGAGTCTGAGAGAAGCACACCTGGCTGGCTGGCAGCCATTCTGAGAGTTGGTAGCCCTGATGAACAGAGTGGTCCCTCACCTTCATTCACCAAACAACTGTTTTTTATTGTACAGAGACATGCCAGGCCCTGAGGACAAGTGGTTACAGGCAAAGACCCTAGCCTAGTGAAGCCTATCTTTAAAGGGTGGGAAGCAGACACTAAGCCGCCAGAACGATGAGCTCATAACTGACTTGTTAATTTATATGTAGGGGGAAACCCTTTTCTTATGCCTCTCCTGGTGATGGCCAACACTGACTGGAATAGCTAGGGTGATGGCCTCCAGGTGGACACATCAGGGGGCAGCCTGAGGGGTGAGATTGCAAGTTGTTTGGAAGGTTGGAGGATGGCATCCCATGCCAAAGCAACAGCAGGTGCAAAGGCCCTCAGGTGGAGGCTGGGGACTGAGTAAGGCGGACAAAGCAAGCAAGAAGAGGAGACCTCAAGGGCAACACAAGGTGAAGGAGGATGAACATGAGAAGTTGGCAGGAGCCAGGCTGTGGTTAACCGAAAGGCCTCCCGAGGACTTGGATGCTATCCCACGCAGAGTAAATAGTTCCTGTAGAAAAAGGCTTTTGACTACTGTGAGGAGGATGTACACGTTTAAATTCAAGGATAGGAGGGCATCAAGGTGCGGGTGTGACCCTAACATCTATGGCCAGCGGCATGGGGTTCCTAAGAGCCCACTTAGGAACTGCTGAAGGACTTTGCGCAAAGCTGGAAGTGGTCTGCACATACACACATGCTCTCAACTGCCGAAAGAAGTGCTTACCATGACTGAGGAAATGGG